GATTACAGGGTTATGTCACCATGGATGGCCTCTGTGGGATTTTTTGAAGGAGTCCGGAAGCAGCAATGGAAAGCATTTTCCAAACTTTCTGGCTGTGGTATGGGGGGGGGGGGTTGCATCATACTGTGAAATATACTGAGATAAGCAAAAGTTTAAAGTAAAAAAAAATCTGAGATTACAAAAAAAAAAGCTGAGAATACAATAGTGCTTACCAAACCCAGAGGGTTCTAAGGTGTATAGTGGAATACAACAAGCAGTAGTGTGTAGATCAATTATTCACAGGGATTATTATATTATCTGAAACTTGATTAAAATACTTAGCATTATGTGCATATATATCACAGTGAATTCCACCTTTATGTATATGTATAAAGCACCAATCAAAAAATAAATAAATGAGCAAAAGGGAGATCAGTAGAGGAGAACTGGGAGACAGAGAAGGAAAAGGAAAGAGGAGGCACCAGGGACCAATTAGAGTAAATCAAATTCCACACATGTATGATTTTGTCAAAATGAACCCAACTATTATGTATAACTATAATGTTCTAATAAAAAAAATAAAATAGCATTGAGGGGCTGGATGTAATTCAGTGATAGAGCACTTGGCTAGCATGCACAGGGCTCTGGGTTCCATTCTCAGCACCCCAAAAGGAAAGGAAAGGAAAAACATACTCTGCATGGAAAGTGTGATATATATTTATGCATCAACTACTTTTTAAAATCCAAACAGTTTATATTTAGACTATTGTAATCTATGGTGGTCAGAAACTAGCATAAAGGATGTTAGGTGTTTTTTAACTGGTGAAATGAAGGTAATTCGAGATTTGTGAATGAGCTGGAAGATCATCCTGGTTCTTCTTTTTCTCCATGAATAAAGCAGAATTGGCAAAAACAGGTGTGGTGGTGGTGCATGCCTGTAATCCCAGTAGCTGGGGAGACTGAAACCAAAGGATTGCAAGTTCAAAGTCAGCCTCAGCAAGTCATCAAGGACCCATGCAACTTAAGGAGATCCTGTCTCAAAATTAAAAAATAAAAAGGTGGGGGATGAAGCTCAGAGGTTAACACCCCTGATTTTAATCCCTGGTACCAACAACAACAACAACAAAAATCAGTGAGCTCTTGGTATGATGAAATGACCTCTTTGAACTTCACTTTCTTCCCTGCAAACTGGGGAACATAGTATCTATCTTCTAAGGGGACCTTGAGCAGAAGGAGACACACCTGGCTCTGGCTCTGAACTGACATAAGGATTTTCCCACAAGTATTTATTTGTTCCTTTTCCTTCTACCGTTTTATCATAGTACTTTGAACTTATTTCATGCCTCTTATTTTATGTCCTCATCTCAATTCTTTTAAATATGGTTCCAAAATCTACTTCAAATCACTGTGATCTCCCCAGGTCTGTCTGGGTGTGCTCCAGGACTCCCCAGTATCATCCATCAATTCCAGGTATGTCAAATTAAATGGTCAAAGAAATCTGAGACCTGAGCTGGTCGTGATGGCGCACGCCCGTAATCCCAGCAGTTTGGAAGGCTGATACAGAAGGATCTGAGTTCAAGCCAATCTCAGCAACAGCAAGGGGTTAAGCAACTCAATGAGACCCAGTTCTAATAAAATACAAAATTGGGCTGGGGATGTGGCTCAATGGTTGAGTGCCCCTGAGTTCAATCCCTGGTACCCACCCCCCACCCCCACCCCCCCAAAAAAAATAAATCTGAGATCTGAGAAAAGCTTGCTTCAGAAGCCCTGTGGTTGTGTTCCCTTCAAACTAGGCTGAGTCCCCAAACAAAGATAGCCAATCTAGTTCTCCTGTCTCTCATGGAGCCTCAGACTGAGCTGACTCAGAAACCTGAAGCAAGCTCATCACCCATCCTCCTCCTCCTCCTTCTTTTTGGTACTGGGGATTAAATTCAGGGGCATTTGACCACTGGGCCACATGTCCCAGCCCTATTTTTTTAAATATCTTTATTTTGTTTACTTATTTTTATGTAGTGCTGAGGACAGAACCCAGTGCCTCACATGTGTGAGGCAAGCGCTCTGCCACTGAGCCACAACCTCAGCCCCACCCAGCCCTATTTTGTATTTTATTTAAAGACAGGGTCTCACTGAGTTGCATAGCGTAGCGCCTAACTTTTGCTGAGTCTGGCTTTGAACTCGCGATCCTCCTGCCTCAGCCTCCCATGCTGCTGGGATTACAGGCATGTGCTACCGCGCCTGGCTTATTTCTGCTCTTCTTGACAACATGAAAACTTCCTTTTTGCTCCTCTAGTATCCATCTCCCCTTCACTGGTAATCCCCTAGATTTTCTCTACTGATCCAACAGTTCAAGCAAGGTTAACTCCACCTTGTTCTGCACCCCCCGCCTCGCCCCCGAAGCCTATCAATGAAGATCAACCTTTGGGACATTTAGAATGAGAAGGATGTTATTCCCGCAGAGATGCCCAATCAAAGGAACTGAAGCCTGGAACTGACTGGGCCACTCTTGGGTAAGGCCGACAGCCTACCTGAAATAAGACAATCAAAATGGTGCTCCATGATAGTTTTAGGCAACTGGAGCTCCTGACAATAGGAGTTCCTAATTCTCTTTTGAGTTTATGACAGTTTTAGCTAGATTTCCTTGCAACTCAGAGTTCTGATTCATATATGAAGCCAATTCCCCAAGTAAGGACCTTTTTATTCCCCTTCCCATTTCTTCCTCCTCTTGCCCCTATAACTTCTCTGCCCAAATGGGTTCCACTCTGGGCTGTCCCAAACAAGTTTCCTGTGCCTACAAATGAAATCCTAAGGACTCAGTTTCCCATGGCCCTGGGGAAAGGGGCACTTGCTTCTTAGGACCAGATCTAGCCCTTTTCTTCAACCCTTGGAGACACGATTCTCTTCTTCCTTTGAGAATCATGTTACAGAGTTCACTGTTCATTACAAATTTCCTGATCACTTAATTTACTCAGGAGTAACACCTGTTTTAGTCTCCCATTTCACCGGAGCTCTGACATCATTCCAGTTGGGTTCCCCTGCTCAACAGCTTGTATACATAGTTCATGTGGCATACACTACCCACCCACCAGGCCCAGTTCAAAGTACATATAGAGTATTTTAGCTTGACACTCAACCCTTGTAACAGCACAAGGTGCTATTATCCCCATCACAGATGAGGAAGCTGAGACACAGAAAGGCTATTTACACTGGCCTAGAGTTACACAAGTGAGGATGAGAATGAGAGTTAATTGCAGTCCAGACTCCCAGTTCCTTATTCTCTATTATTTGTTGCCTCATCTACTCCAGTTTATATTGGTTCTGTGGAGGTGAGAGAGAGTCAGCATTTCCTGCAACTGAGTCACTGGGCATGTGGGAAGTTGCCATAGAGATGTCAACTGAGGGTGTCCTGGATGCCATCAGAGATCTCTACAGCTCCTCTCCTAGAGCTCAGCGATTTGTTGTCACTGCATATACAAATTCACCAATTAATAGATAAGCCAGAAAAGGGGACTGCAGCTGGACTGAGAACCCAGTGGTAGAAGGGCAAGTTACAGATTCGGCTCCCCTAGTGTTCCATGGGACTCCTCCTGCCACAGCAGTCCATACTCTGTTTGTAATGGTTGCTGCATTCAGGGCAGTTTGTTCTCCCTGTGTGTAGGACAGTGTGTGTCCCTTGTGCATGTCTTCACCTATGACCCCAAACTACTCAGCCTTCTATAAATTTTGCAAAACTGGTTCAAAAACTGGTTTTCTTCCTTCCTTTCTGTTTAAAAGAGCAGGGAGGGGGAATCCAGGAGTTGTTTTCACCACCCCCATCCAAGGGCACCTAGCTGTAGCTTCATCCACAGCTGCTCAACTCTGAAAAGCCCTCAAAGATTTCCCTCCCAGGCTTCTGGCTCCCATTCTTCTCCAGCACAACAGCTACCCCACCTCTACTTCCGGCTCTTGACAGGCACTCCCAGCTTCTTAACACCAGCTAACAGACTTATCTTACACAACCCCCAGATCCCCAGACCCAACCTGCACATGCATCCCTGTATCAATACAAACTGTTTCAGTGGTCCTGGATTAGAAAACACTCACGCAACTGTGTAAATATAAGGTAGCCAAGTCAGGCGGCTCAAGTTACCAAGCAAGCCTAATTAGTATGCACAACGGCTATAATTAGAACGATTTACTGAGTGCTTACTATGTGCCAAGCAGTGTCCTAATCGCTTTATGAGCACTTAATCCCTCAGAACACCACCACCATAAGATAGAGACCATCATGTTTCCCATTTTACAAAAAGCAAAACTGTGACCCCCTGAGATCAGGCCCTGCCCAGCGTTACAACTTTATAACAAAATTGCAGAGCTCATTCCGGCTGCACTTACATCTCACCACGCAACTGTCTGCTGGTCAAGAGCCCAGCCAGTCGCCCGGCCGTCTAGAGTACTAAACTGATGGGTCACTCTGGAGCAGTGGGTTCATCGGTGAAAGTGAAAGAAGAGGAAGAAAGAAGAGAACTGTCGCGGTAAAATCCGGAAAGGAGGCAAGGGCGCTCACACAGACACTTCCTAGTCATCGTTACTCAGCACTTTATGGGGCACACGGTGCTGGGGAGCCCAAGCAAAGCCAGCCTTTTCGAGGAATCCAGCCCTGCCTGGGCGGTCCCAGGACTGGACGTATTTCCAGCCTGGGCGTGTTCAATTGAGGATGGATGACGCCTTCCCAAGTGGCCACGGAGGGACCCTGTGGCTCTGGGATAGCCAACCGCCTCCCACCGCCGTGCGCAGTGCAAGTCCCTCTAGGTCGCTCCACCAGTTCCGTAGATCATTTCCAGCCGCGCAAGGGCAGCCTGGCGCCTAGGTCTCAGGATCAAGCTGGGGGGCGGGCCCAGAAGCTCCGCTCGGCGCCTGCGCCAGCCGAGGCCCCGCCCCCGCCCTGTTCCGGGAGACGGGGGCGAGGGCGGAGCCGGCCGCAGAGCCTTGGCGAGCGCGGGAGGCCAAAGCGGGCGCGCCCCCGCTACACGCAAGACGCGCGCGCGCGCTCCGCCCCGCGGCGCCCCGCCCTGTCGCTATAAAGCGAAGGCGGGCTGCGCGCTCGCCTCCCAGCTCTGTCCGGCGCCTTGCATTCGTTTACATCGTTTGCAGCCGTCTCTTGTCAGATCCCCCAACAGCCAAAATGGTGAAACAGATCGAAAGCAAGGTACGTGCGCCCGGGAAAGGCCAGCACTCAAGCGCAGCCTCTGTAGCTGGGGAAGGCGCTGCGCCGGGAGGTGGGGAGGCCGCCTCTCCGCATCCTTGGGGAAAGGGGACGCGGTGGCTCGGCCTGGGACTGAGAGCAGCCGGGCCCTAGGCGCGCCGGAGATTGCCGAACATGCCTTGGGGGAGGGGAGGAGAGGGGCGAAGGCCCCCTGGAGGGCGGGATTGGGGTGCCCAGCCCGGTCTGTACGCTGGGCACTGTGGAGGTAACACGCGTGCAGCGCCTGGGGGTACCCATACTGCACCTCTTGCACCCGCAAACCCTGAAAACCCCGATTGGAGGAAGGAGAGGGGATGGACAGGGTCCGCCCTTAGCCCCTATCTGCATCCAGATACGGATCCAGGCAAGGAGACGGAGGGGCCATTGGAGAAGGCGCGAGGTCGCTGGTCACCACGCTCTCCGTATGCAGTGTAATCCACCCTCGTGGGGTGCGGTGAGCCCCCTTGAAAGCAGGTCTAGGCCAGAGACCCCATCTGTTACATCAGTGTCCGGCCCCAAGCAGGACGCGTTCCTCTTCCACACAAAGTGGGCAGACCGATCCCTGCTGGAGACCCTCAGGAGCGTGCCCCAGGTGGCTCCAAGGAAGTGAGGTCCAGGCGGCGCCCGCGGGACTCCTCCTCCTGCGGCGCAGGGCGTGTTTCCGGCAGCGCTGGCTTTGGAATGACTCAGTCCCCAAGGCTGGGCCCGGGGGCCTCGATTGCCCTACCCAGCAGTGGTTCGCCCACCTTCAGGTTTTGCCGGAACCTGGAGTAGCTGCTGTACTGTCCGGCTGTAAGCTCATCGGCCTTCGGGTTCGAGCTAGTGGTACTGTCCTTTTAAACATGCCCAAGGGAAAAAGTGTTCCGGTATTCGAAAGTTATTGCGAGCTGAATATCCTCCTGATTGGAAAACCCAGAGCCTGACATATAATGTCTGTACTGTAGCCAATCGGAACTGTTTGTTAAAAGGAGAGACAGAAAGTGAGTGGGAGAAGTTTGAAAGATGGCAGATCATTTACCCTGAGGTACTCTCTCCACACCCGCGCACCCTGGGAAGGCAAAGGAAGGCAATCTTGGCGCTCCGAGTACCTGTTTGGTGCAGATGGGCATCAGAAACAGAAGTTGTTACGTGCAATGTGTGTGATGGTCTCAGCTTCCTTTGGTAATTGTTTGTCATCTTGTCTTTAATTTTTTTTAATTATCATAATCCTTGTTTTTTAAAAAACAGCAACCCTCCCCCCATTTGTAGATAAGAGATCCTTAATAGTGCATTTTGTTCCATATACATTTTTCAATATCTGTGTAACACAGCCTGTGCCTGGGAAAGGAAGGGAAGGCAGAGTTTGTTCTTAAGCATCTGGCAACCTCAGTATAACCAAGCTGGTGGAACTCATTATGGAGCCAGAAGACCTTGGAGTGGCCTGGGTTAGTTTGCTTACAAACCCACCCAACTAGGAACAGGAAGTTGCTTTTGGTTCCTGGGGAATACCTGCTCTGACCTTCCCTGTTGTAACCATGGTAGCTATGACCCTCCTCTCTGTCTAGTTAAGAAAGGTGTACAAAGGTGACAAGACATTTGTTACTTAAGAAAACACCACAGCTTGAGTTCAAGGACATGGCAATCAGGGTTTTGTTTTTGGTTTTTTAAACAACTTATTTATCTTGGTACACAGGATTGGAACCAGGGATACTTAACCACTGAGCTACACCCTCAGTCCTTTTTTTGAGTATTTTGAGACAGGATCTTGCTCAGTTGCTTAGAGCCTCACTAAGTTGCTGTGGCTGTCCTCAAACTTTCAATCCTCCTGCCTCAGCTTCTTGAGTCACTGAGATTACAGGTAATGTATGTACCACCATACCCAACTCTAAATTTTTTCATCCTGGTGTGTTAAAGTCGGTACCATTGGCCTTCCAGAGCAACTGTTTCTGAGGCACTGTGTAGGTAGTATGGGGCCTGTTCCAGACATGAGTACAATAATGGGCCGTAGATGCAATGAGGAAGAAGAAATCAGAAGTTGTAGTTTACCCACAATTTTTTTCTTTTTTAAAAATGACAACTACCATTTCTTGAACTCCTACACATAAAGCACTTCATTAAATGCTTTTCAAACTTCTCATGCTTATCACTTTTGGAATTGAATGTGTTTTGGAAAAGAGGTGTTAGACTCTACTTTTGTTTTATGTACCGTATGTTTTGTTTCCAGGTTATTTGTGTCAGTGATGGGAACATTTATCAATCATGATTGTTAGTTTCTGGGAGCTAAAATTTATGATTTGCGTTTTCATAAGGTAATCTTGAATAATTTTCAAGCTGAATCTATTTTAGGCAAAGTTAGGCCAGAAGAGCATCTTAATGAGAAATCTACATATACCTGGCTCTGTAGCTTATGTTCACTTAAGCCAGAAGCTCTTGTCAGAATTTTAGGTAGTTTTGCTTGAATTGGATTCAGAACTGTTTGGGGATATCCTTGAGGATATTTAAAATACAGTAAAGAATGAGTTGATCAGAGCTGGGATTGTAGCTCAGTTGGTAGAGCATTTTTCCTAGCATGTGTGAGGCATGGGGTTCAACCCTCAGCGACACATACAAGTAAATAAACAAAATAAAGGTGTTGTGTCCATCTACAACTTTAAAACATTAAAAAAAAAAGTGAGTTGATCAGATTGTGTTATGTGCATGTATGGATGTGGTATAGTGAACCAAATCATTGCCCCAAAAAGAAACCTTGTTAGACCTGAAAATCATCCTAGGGAAGTCTCTGAAGTAATTTTATCTGGAACAATCAGTAGTGGCTTGGAAAAATGATTTCTTTCTTCTACTCTCTGCTGCATCCCTATCCCCCACCCCACATGCCCAGATCTCTCCACATCCAAAAGTCGGGTAGATGGGCCTGCGTAACTGAAAAAGTTACTGAAGCACACCATTCCAAAAACATGAGGTAGAAATTTAAAATCTAGGAAAATAACTGTAGTTTATAGGAACCCACATTAGGCTTTTGTTTTGGGTGTGTGTTTTTACCTTACAGTGTTTTATTCATTTACTTTCCTTCTTTATTGAACCAGATCTAATATAATTCTTGTGGGGGAAGGGAGTGTTATTAATTTTTTATTAAACCCAGTTTGACCAGCAAAATGAAGAACATCTAGATTTCAGATACAGAGGTTTGTGCTTTGATTTATCTTCCTTGCCCCAGTTTTGGGTTTTGGTCAACACTGACTATTGTTAAAATGAGTCCCTTGTAACTAGAATGTTAGGTTCCTAGGGTTACAGTATCAAGACCATTGGTAAATAATTAAGGGAGGTGGTGGTAAACGATCTCTTCATCATTACTGCTGGGAGTTTTTTAATGTTTATTTTTTTAGTTGTAGTTGGACACGATACCTTTATTTTATTTATTTGTATGTGGTGTTCAGGATCGAACCCAGGGCCTCGCACGTGCTAGGTGAACCCTTTACCGCTGAGCCACAACCCCAGCCCCTTAATATGTATTCTTTATGCAAAATAATATCTACAGAAAATTTTCTTCATGAGGAACTAAAACTGATTTTCTTTCATGAGCAATGATGAGGGTATTATTTTGAACTAAAGGGCAAAAATCAAAGGTTGATGTGCAATGTCATCTCAGCTCTGGAAACCCAATATGCATGCATGCATGTGCGCACAAACAAGAAAATATCCAACAGAAAATGACTTAGGGGGTCAGTTTTCAGGGGTGTTTGTTTATTTTTAGCTTTTTGCATATTCTTTCATAGACAAATTCATCAGAAATCTTAGCTTTTCTTTTGGAGTAGCTTGTGAATTTTCAATTGTTAAAATCTGTGTCCTTTAGAGACTAACCCACAAAATTACGATTATCTTATATTAGACAAAGGTGCTAGAAACATACATTTGAGAAAATATAGTCTCTTCAACAAATGGTGCTGGAAAAACTGGAAATCCATATGCAACAAAATGAAATTAAACCCCTATCTCTCACCATGCACAAAACTCAACTCAAAGTATATCAAGGACCTAGGAATTACACCAGAGATCCTGTGCTTAATAGAAGAAAAAGTAGGCCCTTATCTCCATCATGTGGGATCAGGCCCCAACTTCCTCAATAAGAATCAATAAATAGGATGGATTCAAACTAAAAAGCTTCTTAGCTTCTTCTCAGAAAAGAAACAATCTGTGAGGTGACTAGAAAGCCTACATCTTGGGAGCAAATTTTTACTCCTCACACTTCAGATGAGTACTAATCTCTAGGGTGTATAAAGAACTCAAAAGGCTAAACGCCAAAAAAAACAAATAACCCAATCAATAAATGGACCAAGGACATGAACAGACACTTCTCAGATGATGATATGCAATCAGTCAACAAATATATGAAAAAATGTTCGTCAACTCTAGCAATTAGAGAAAAGCAAATCAAAACTAATCTAAGATTTCATCTCCTGTCACAATGGTAGCTATTATGAAGACAAACAACAATAAGTGTTGGCGAGGATGTCGGGAGAAAAGGCACACTAGTATATTGCTGGTGGGACTGCAAATTGGTGCAGCCAATATGGAAAGCAGTATGGAAATTTCTTGGAAAATTGGGAATGGAACCACCATTTGACCCAACTGTCCCTCTCCTCAGTCTGTACCCAAAGGACTTAATAACAGCATACTACAGGGACACAGCCACATCAATGTTTATAGCAGCACAATTCACAATAGTTAAACTGTGAAACCAACCTAGATGCCCTTCAGTAGTTATGTCCACCGAAAACTAAGAAATAAATATTTTTTTAAAAATGTGGCTTATATACACAATAGAATATTACTCAGCAATATAAGAGAATAAAGTCGTAGCATTTTCAGGTAAATAGATGGAGTTGGAGAAGATAATGCTAAGTTAAGTTAGCCAGTCCCCCCCAAAAAAAATGCCAAATGTTTTCTCTGATATAAGGAGACTGATTCATAGTGGAGTAGAGAGGGAGAGCATGGGAGGAACAGACAAACTCTGGATAGGCAAAGGGGTGGGAAGGGAAGGAGGGGGCAGGGGATTAGAAATGATGGTGGCATGTGATGAACATCATTATCCAAAGTACATGTATGAAGACACGAATTGGTGTGAATATACTTTATATACAATCAGAGATATGAAAGTTGTGCTCTATATGTATAATATGAATTGCGATGCATCCCACTATCATATATTAAAAATAAATCAATAAAAAAAATCTGTGTCCTTGTGACCTCTTCAATTGCTGTGACTCTCTGTCAGTCCATAAGAATTTAGTGACTGTCTACCAGATACCTAGATTTGATATGGTAACATTGTGCGTAAAAATGTTATTTTTTAATTTTCCTTTCATTTACTTAGTTTGAATATAAGTTAGCCAGTTCACGATACTTTATTAAACAACAACAACAACAACAAAAAATAAAGTGAAGGCATAAGTATCAGGAACTTTATGCATTGTATCTTGTTTCATCTTCTCAAGTGACAGTAAGGCTGGTGTAGGATTCCTTCATACCCGGTTTCTTTGACTTATTGGAATTTGCTGAAAGCAGGACCTCTGAGTTGTCCTTGTGTCATCAAGTCTCCAGAACTTTTGGAAATGAAACTATTCAGCCTGTTTTTCTTCCACCCTTTGTAGGAAGCTTTTCAGGAAGCCTTGAACTCTGCAGGAGACAAGCTTGTAGTAGTTGACTTCTCTGCCACGTGGTGCGGCCCTTGCAAAATGATCAAGCCTTTCTTTCATGTGAGTATGAGCCCTTGGTATTTTGGGGTCAGAAGTCATCAAGCTAAAAGAGGTGTTTGGGGGTGGTAGTTTTTGTTTTGCTGGATCAATAGTCTAAAAGTAGCAGCAAAAAATAATAACTTAAATAATATAGGTTCAATGCATGTAGCCTGTTGTAGACAACTCTCAGAAGTTAATTTTGTTTATCTGAAATTGTTTAGCTTTTTTT